TAAAGTAAGTTGTTCCCCCCCCCCCCACCCCCCCTAATATCAATCATAATATTTTAATTACTTAATTACGTTATTATAACTGCAGGTAGATTGGTTGTATCCCATGTGTACACACATATACGCACATTATGTTTTATGTTGCTTTTGTGAAACTCCTGCTTCTGGGAAAAGGTAAAGAAACACATACATTTATTTAATGCGTTAGATTAAATTGGGCATCTGCCCCCAGATCACCCGCTTAACATCAGGTCACAAGACTGCAAGATAGTGTTAGGACAACACGTGAGGAAATAATTGTTTCAAACAATAACACCAGTCACTGATAGATAGTAGAGTATGTTTTACAGCTGTAGTAGGGTATATTCGGTGACTTTACATGCGCAGACTTTACAGGCCCACATAGATAATCTAAAGGTAATAAACTAATAAAGTCTGGAGATACAGTTTTAGTCTACAGATAGAGCTGTATGAATTTATTGCCCATCTGCATACTGATTGAGCACTAAAATATTTATACCATAGTCATAACGTGTGGAAGTGAAAATGTATCACAAGCCGTCCCCTAAATTCACATCTAATTCTTGCACAGGACTTGGTAAAACTAAAAAGTCAAGTCAAAATATATCACTGTTTAGTGTTAGAGAAGCTGAAGCATGAATATGAGTTATCCCTTTATAGTTTTTAGTTCCTCGTCAATCAGTATTACATATTTATTTGAAATGAAGTGAAACATTGCAACATTATAAATCGATTTACAGGTAAAAACACACACACAAATAATCTCAGACCACTTAAACATCCATTTTGGAAAAACAAAAAAATCTAAGGCTATTTTCCTTATTTATTTTGCAGGCATGTGTTCATGAAACTCTTCTCAAAACATCTTGAGATATAAAACAGGCAAACATACATTCTTAATACAAATGTGTTTTTATCTGACATCATTTTTAGGCTGTGTAACTGTACATATTACTGTTTTATCATCATAACGTTTTTTGGACTTTGATAGGTCTAGCCCATGTGTGATGTAAGGCTGGAGGTGGGTGGTGCCTGTATATAGTTGATCCAGGCAGTGTCCTGGATTATTGCATTTTCAGTGGACATTGTAATATTTTGCCACACAGCCCATCAAAAACCTTGGCTTCTATCTGTTTATATTTTTTACAAGAATGGCTGACAGTTCAGTAGCTGACAAGCTCTGCAATGCCTCTGCCAATGGAAATCTACCTGAAGTGTTGTTTTTGCTGGAAAATGGAGCAGATATTAATGGATTTAATAAATTCAACAGAACTGCACTGCAGGTTGGTATAAACCGATTTCAAATTAGTTTGCTTTTAAAGAGAACTACGAGAAATATATTTGTTAGTCATGGTTTTGTAGCATGTAGTAAGAAGCAGCATGCTTAACTTCCTTATCTTATTGTGCTCTAGTACAGGATGTAAGGCCTAATCCTATTTTATATTCAAATATCCAGTCATGGTCGTCTTTATATCCAATTAAATAGTCTAAATAGATATAAATCGTTTTTCACATGAATCTGTGGACAAATGGCAAAAGGGAGTTTGGATTTGGATTTGGATAACACATCTGATCTAAATACACTAAGTCTGAATAGCTAAAAGCTAACCAGATCCTTTTGAAATTCATATTTTTACTGCAATTCATTATTTCATGTTTCAATTGTATATATAGCCTATGTGTTGTTTTTTAAATGGAACAATAAGATGTTTCTCTATTACCATAAGTTTAACACTTTAATGTAGTTCCAGCTTTGACTTTGCATCCTTTAATCCTGAAAAAGTTATTGAGATTTAACAAAGAATAAGAATGTAGTAGTATTATTATTAGTATTATTATTTAGTATAATGGAAAGGCATGCAACAAAGCAAAATTAAATCTGAGAGTTACTGAAGTGTGAGAAAGTGAGCAACAAAATGGTGGTGGTGAGAAAATGGTGGCTCAGGGCCTCTCTTATTACACAATATATTCCTGCTTGCAATACACACCTAGATCTTTTGTGTTTTGCACAAAAGTCAAATTCAGGCAAATGTCAATAATATTAATGCTAATATTGCTATTATCAATACTAGTCATAATTTCAGTAACAGTGATGATCAATGGTGGAATGTAGCAAATTACATTTACTCATGTACTGTACTTAAGTACAACTTTGAGGTATTTTACTTGAGTATTTCCATTTTACTTTATGCTTTGATAGAGAAATATTGTACTTTTTACTTCACTACATTTATCTGACAGGTACAGTTACTTTGTAGAGATACAAAATATGATCAACTAATAAATTATGATATGATATTATTATACATTAAGCTACCGGCAGTGTATAAAGTAGTTTACCCACCTTACCTGCAACATAGTGATCAATATTTATAATAAAATAATATAACAGGCTACACATTACTCTGAAAAGAGCCATTCTGCATAATGGGTTTTACTTTAAATGTTTTTTAATGCTACAGTACTTTTGTACTTTTACTAAAAATGTGTAATGTAACTGCACTGTAGTATTAGTCCATCCACCACTGATGATGATGGTATTAATAATGATAATCTTACAATTGTACAGTAATTTAAGTCTCGTCATCTTAATAATAAATCTAATCACATTTAATGTGCAGCTCTATTTTGTTTGAATGTTTAAAAAAGTTACATTACTCCCTGGTATATTTTTTTTTTATGTAAATTGGTAATAGGCCAGTATTAGCGTTAGTCTGCCGTGATTTAGCGACGCATCATGTAGTTGTTTGTTTGACTCACATGCACGTGATACAAATAGGGCATTTCAAGTCATATTATGCTTTCAACTGAGTCATATTACTGTTCTCACTCCGGTTTTTGCTTCTTCCGTTGGTCTTGGCGCAGGTTGTCAAACTGGGGAACCCGGCCCTGATTCAGACTCTTCTCGTGGCGGGGGCAGACCCCAGCGCGCGCGACCCCGTCCTCAGTCTCACTGTGATGCACGACGCCGCACGCGAGGGATTCGCAGATTCGGTGCGCGTGCTGGTGGACCACGGGGCAGACACGAACCTCGTAGATGATCATGGTAACCTGCCGTTGCACCTGGCCGCCAAGGAGGGCCATCTGGAGGTGATCCAGCTGCTGATCGGGCTCACCGCGAACCCCCAAGCGCCCAACGATCTGGGCTACACGGCGGCGCAGCTGGCGCTCCACCACGGGAAGATGGACACCGCCAACTACATCCAAGAGTATCTGAGCTCATGAGCGTAAGTTTTTCTCTCAGTGAAATAGTTTCTTGAAGTGGAACAATAAGATGTTTCTTTATGACCATGAGTTTAACACTTTAATGTAGTTCCAGCGTTGACTTTGCATCCTTTCATCCTGAAAAAGTTATTAAGATTTAGCAAATAATATGCACTTTTTAGTTACTTTAATCACAAATCCAAGTCTTAATTTTAAGCAAAGAGTAAGAGCCATATCTTAAGAAAGATTAAAGAAATAGATAGAGATAATTTGAATGTAAAAATATTCAAATATAAATCAAATGTAGCCTATAGGCCTATCAAATATAAAACTCTAAAAAAAAAATAATAGAAGAATTAATCCTGACTTTCCCTACTATTATGTGTATTATTATAAAATATAATTAATAATAATATATGTTATATGTAAATCCTATTTCACCACGTGCATCTTTATGTAATTGCCTGCCTGTCAAAACATCATTAGTCACATAAACCACCAGTGTTGGCCTGGTAACAGTGGCTGCCTCCTACCCTTACTTTTGCTTACTCACAAAAAAGGACATGTGATTGAATCTATTAATATTTTAAACACAAATGTATTTTAATGCATGAATAAAAGTCAGGAAATATATTCAGACGTTGTTGTTTTTTTACATTTGCCATAGTGTTGTTAATGTGATTTTAAAGGCCTTGCAAAAAATAATGCTATTTTGGGGCATTGGCATGGAAACTTCTGGAAAGCCCTGGTGAGCAAGACACTGCTTTGACATATTTTGAGCTGGTTTAAACTGTGTCACTGTTAGCTCATTATAGTATTCAATTTGTGGTTTTGTGTTGGCATATGTGGAGAATCATTTTTAACTAGTTTGTTGCTCTATGTAAAAGAAAACAAATAAGCTGTAGGATGAGATTTCATTTAGATTTTTGTTCATCTTTATTAACAAAAAATATATAGGCTAGGCTTAGTGTCATTGTGATCTGAGTTC